ACACACACACACACACCTACACACCTACACACCTACACACCCACAACAGGCCTAGTGTCTAATCGACATGTGCCTAGGACAAAATGGTAACTAACCTACACACCTACACACACACAACAGGCCTAGTGTCTAATCGACATGTGCCTAGGACAAAATGGTAACTAACACACCTACACACACAACAGGCCTAGTGTCTAATCGACATGTGCCTAGGACAAAATGGTAACTAACATGCACACATGTGGTAATGCTTTATTTACAGCTAGCAAAGTCAGGGTATTTCTCCAGAATGGTCTGCAATATACCACTGTGGATAAAATACTTCACCATTTCTTGAACATTTCTGAGTGAGTTGTTTCTAAATTCATTAATTTTATCACACTCCAGTACATAATGACGCAGGGTGTGACAATAGTCCATCTGGCAAAGTTTACATTTCGTTTGGTCTACATCTGGTGGTGGTGATTTAACCTGCCATAGATACTTGTAACCCAGCCGGAGCCGGCTTAGGACACACAACATCTTACATGAAGTGATTTACTACTAACAAGTTGGAAATGGCAACTTAAGTTCATTTCCAATTCATCCTGGACTGTTATCATTGTGTGAGACAGACCAAAGCAGTGTCCACTTCCATTTTGTGGGTTAGTTGTGATTTGTTCCAGCCATTGTATGCTGACTTATTCTTGAAGTAATTTAAATGATGGCATTATTTAAATTATTCCAGGTTTTAACTAGGTAAGTGGTGTTAGGCTAGTATGGGCTTCTTGTCATAGAGATGAATGATTAAACAGCAGCTTTTGATGCCTGTATGCTTGGAAAAATAAACACAAATGAAGTATAATATTTTCTTAATACTTTGCCCATCTCCTACTGCGGCAGGGTGACCCATAACAGAAACACTTTCACCATCATTTACGCTACCACTGTCTTGCCAGAGGTGCGCAGCATGATGCAATCCTTTATTGACGTTTTTTCCACACACTGGGCTTTGTCAAGTACCTGGAGTTTACCTGGAGAGAGTTTCGGGGGTCAACGCCCCCGCAGCCCGGTCTGTGACCAGGCCTCCTGGTGGATCAGCCCCTGATCAACCAGGCTGTTGCTGCTGGCTGCACGCAACCAACGTACGAGCCACAGCCCGGCTGATCAGGAACTGACTTTAGGTGCTTGTCCAGTGCCAGCTTGAAGACTGCCAGGGGTCTGTTGGTAATCCCCCTTATGTGTGCTGGGAGGCAGTTGAACAGTCTCGGGCCCCTGACACTTATTGTATGGTCTCTTAACGTGCTAGTGACACCCTGCTTTTCATTGGGGGGATGGTGCATCTTCTGCCAAGTCTTTTGCTTTCGTAGTGAGTGATTTTCGTGTGCAAGTTCGGTACTAGTCCCTCTAGGATTTTCCAGGTGTATATAATCATGTATCTCTCCCTCCTGCGTTCCAGGGAATACAGGTTTAGAAACCTCAAGCGCTCCCAGTAATTGAGGTGTTTTATCTCCGTTATGCGCGCCGTGAAAGTTCTCTGTACATTTTCTAGGTCGGCAATTTCACCTGCCTTGAAAGGTGCTGTTAGAGAGCAGCAATATTCCAGCCTAGATAGAACAAGTGACCTGAAGAGTGTCATCATGGCTTGGCCTCCCTAGTTTTGAAGGTTCTCATTATCCATCCTGTCATTTTTCTAGCAGATGCGATTGATACAATGTTATGGTCCTTGAAGGTGAGATCCTCCGACATAATCACTCCCAGGTCTTTGACGTTGGTGTTTCGCTCTATTTTGTGGCCAGAATTTGTTTTGTACTCTGATGAAGATTTAATTTCCTCATGTTTACCATATCTGAGTAATTGAAATTTCTCATCGTTGAACTTCATATTGTTTTCCCGCAGCCCACTGAAAGATTTGGTTGATGTCCGCCTGGAGCCTTGCAGTGTCTGCAATGGAAGACACTGTCATGCAGATTCGGGTGTCATCTGCAAAGGAAGACACGGTGCTGTGGCTGACATCCTTGTCTATGTCGGATATGAGGATGAGGAACAAGATGGGAGCTAGTACTGTGCCTTGTGGAACAGAGCTTTTCACCGTAGCTGCCTCGGACTTTACTCTGTTGACGACTACTCTCTGTGTTCTGTTAGTGAGGAAATTATAGATCCATCGACCGACTTTTCCTGTTATTCCTTTAGCACGCATTTTGTGCACTATTACGCCATGGTCACACTTGTCGAAGGCTTTTGCAAAGTCTGTATATATTACATCTGCATTCTTTTTGTCTTCTAGTGCATTTAGGACCTTGTCATAGTGATCCAATAGTTGAGACAGACAGGAGCGACCTGTTCTAAACCCATGTTGCCCTGGGTTGTGTAACTGATGGGTTTCTAGATGGGTGGTGATCTTGCTTCTTAGGACCCTTTCAAAGATTTTTATGATATGGGATGTTAGTGCTATTGGTCTGTAGTTCTTTGCTATTGCTTTACTGCCCCCTTTGTGGAGTGGGGCTATGTCTGTTGTTTTTAGTAACTGAGGGACGACCCCCGTGTCCATGCTCCCTCTCCATAGGATGGAAAAGGCTCGTGATAGGGGCTTCTTGCAGTTCTTGATGAACACAGAGTTCCATGAGTCTGGCCCTGGGGCAGAGTGCATGGGCATGTCATTTATCGCCTGTTCGAAGTCATTTGGCGTCAGGATAACATCGGATAGGCTTGTGTTAATCAAATTTTGTGGCTCTCTCATAAAAAATTAATTTTGATCTTCGACTCTCAGTCTGGTTAGCGGCTTGCTAAAAACTGAGTCATATTGGGACTTGAGTAGCTCACTCATTTCCTTGCTGTCATCTGTGTAGGACCCATCTTGTTTAAGTAGGGGCCCAGTACTGGACGTTGTTCTCGATTTTGATTTGGCATAGGAGAAGAAATACTTTGGGTTTCTTTCGATTTCATTTATGGCTTTTAGTTCTTTCCGCGATTCCTGACTCCTAAAGGATTCTTTTAGCTTAAGTTCGATGCTTACTATTTCTCTGACCAGTGTCTCCCTACGCATTTCATATATATTGACCTCTTTTAGCCGCTCTGTTATTCTTTTCTGTCGCCTGTAAAGGGAGCGCCTGTCTCTTTCTATTTTACATCCACTCCTCCTTTTTCTTAGAGGAATAAGCCTTGTGCATACATCGAGTGCCACCGAGTTAATCTGTTCTAGGCATAAGTTGGGGTCTGTGTTGCTTAGTGTATCTTCCCAGCTTATATCGGTTAGGACTTGGTTTACTTGGTCCCACTTTATGTTTTTGTTATTGAAGTTGAATTTGGTGAATGCTCCCTCGTGACTAGTCTCATTTTGTCGGTCTGGGGCTCCACGCATACATGTCTGAACCTCAATTATGTTGTGATCTGAGTATATTGTTTTTGATATGGTGACATTTCTTATCAGATCATCATTGTTAGTGAAGATGAGGTCTAGTGTATTCTCCAGTCTAGTAGGCTCTATTATTTGCTGGTTTAAATTGAATTTTGTGCAGAGATTTAAAAGCTCGTGTGAGTGTGAGTTTTCATCAGAGCTGCCTCCTGGTGTTATTACTGCAACAATATTAGATGTGTTTGTGATTTTATTTGTATATAAGAAAACCCACTGTGTGGGGAAAAAAGTAGTCAGTAAAGGATAGCATTATAGTGCATTTGTGTATTTGTCCATCGTGTCGGTATTTTATGCAGTTTATCTCCACGTATGCTTCTTTATAACTAGCACATCCCACAAAGTTCAGAAGGTTTGTGCTGCTTTCTGTATTCTACTATGTATGAAAATCTATACCTGCCTCATCTACCATAAATTTGTTTCACATCATTTATCTGTGCACCGAGAATGTAAATCATAAATGACATCTTGTTTCATAGCAACACTCTTGGCAAGAGTTAGTATTATTATTACTTCAGTCTGTGTATTTATTTTTACAGTAATTATGGTATTTGTAATTTTTTCAGCTGATAACAATGAATTGGTCAGTATGTGCATAGATAAGAATAAATACAAGTATGCCAGGGAAATATGATTAACTCTTAAACTGTCCAAACATATGTCTACGTTGCGTGCGTAGCGCTCCTAACTTCCTATTTTGCATGCTTTCTTATGTGAAAAAATGTAGATCTGTTTGGAGTCCTACACACGTGAACGTAGATCTACGTTTGGACAGTTTAAGGGTTAATACTAGCTTATAGAGTAAAATTTATCATGCCCAGTAATGTCATCTCTGAGACAGTGCTTGGATACTGATGTCCATCATTTTTCACTGTGATGTACATTTCAACATCACCATAAATTGTGGCTAAAAATACTGTAAGTAATCGCATCCCACCTTCACAACAACCTCAACATATCCTTATCCTGATGGAGGTAATTAGTATAAAATACCAGCATAAAATGGAGTATAATTTTTTTTTTTTAACATGTCGGCTGCCTCCCACTGAGGCAGGTTGACCCAAAATAAGAAACACTTTCACCATCATACAACACTTTCACTATCCTCCACATATAATCACTGTCTTTGCAAAAGTGCCTAAATACTACAGTTTAAATGTCAACCCTTTATTTACTGTTTTACCCACACAGTCATCTTTATCAAGTCACAAATAAATCCGTTTGTGACTTAACAAATTAACCCACTGTGTGAGAGAAATATAGTCAATAAAGGATTGCATTATACAGTATTAATGTCTATTTTTTCATATTCTTAACCCACATCAGCCATCCATATACTGTTATTATTTCTGTTTTTGAACTGTAATTGCCATACATACGGGAAATGGATATTAGAAGTTGCTGGTTATTGGAACACTGGATATGATAGATTTTTACTATAGCTGTATCGAATGTAAAGTCACAGCCAAAGGCTCATTATTAGATTCAGTACGAACAGATAGGAAACTAGCTTTATAAACCTGGTATTGTTGAGTTTTGTGTTTAGTTGTAGAGTGTATTTGTTATTGTGTTTTGTGTAAATGATTTTAATTTTCCTTGTGCTTCATAGGAAAGGGTGAAGAAAGAGCAGTTGGAGTTTGTGGAAAATGTAGTATTAGTGCAAATAGCTCAGGAATGGTTGAGATGGTCCTAGCCTGGGATATGCCTCAGATTGTATTCAAGAGCAGAGGAGTGACACACACCAGGTAAGGGTAGATACACTACTATATTATACATAACACCATTATCTTAATCTATTAATACAGCACTCAAAATTAGTCAGATTACCATGCAAACTACTTTTCAGATTGTAAACACTTAAGCTTTATAATTTGTACAGTTCGACACTAAATTCATAGGCGACCATACAGTGTCTGGAAAATGGGAGGATTGGCAAACCCTTTGATGATGTGCAGGATAAGTTCTTGAAAATTGGTACTGCATAAAAATTAACTTTATATGAAGTGAAGAACATCTAGTAAAAAAAAAAAAAGTAAATTTTCAAACACCTCTAAATTTACCAAAACATTTTATTTTTTTTTTTTTGTATTCTGCTAGGTAAAAATTACTGACACGCTCGGTACATATAAACATCTAAAAAAATAAAAACCACATTTCCTCACCAGATTGTGCCAGACATATTAATTCACCACACTTATATCAAATGAACTAAAGATAAATGCATTTGATAAAGCCAAAACAAAGAAAAAATATTGTAGTAATGCCAAAAAAATATGGGAAGCAGCATCAGTCACCAGACCTTGGGGAAGATAATCCCCAGAACCAATAACACAACTGATGACAGATACCTGGACCCCTCAACATATCAGGATTATAAAATAACCCACAATGAAACAACCATACACTGAGGATAAATGCATTTCAGAAAATAATAACCAAGAAAAATATATTAATACCCTTATATAAAATGTTGTAGGAGGCTGCATCTGGGAGATACGAAGAGAACTGTCTACCGAATTATAAGTGACTTTTCTTTTGAGTGATCTATGTCTGAGAGAGCGATAATATGTTTAATAGTAGAAGAGAAAGTAATAAATTGGCCGTGCTGCACACTGGCCAACCTGAAGCCATCACTTGTATTATTTTAGTTTACATCTACTCACTTTATTTTACCTCTTATCTCACTTCTCTCACTAGTTTACTGTTCTCTGTTTATTTTATGCAATTTTTTTGTTCTCTCAAATCTTTTTGCAAGGTTAGAGGGCTACCCCATTCCTGGTATATTTAACATTCAGGGCCAGATAAAGGCCCTGAGTGTACCAGTAACTGTGAAAAGTATTCACAGTTACTTCTGTAAGTTTATAATTTCTCTCTTTCTTTCAATACACTGGCTGTATCCCACCGAAGCAGGGTGGCCCAAAAAGAAAAGTGAAAGTTTCTCTTTATAAATTTAGTAATGTATACAGAAGAAGGGGTTACTAGCCTCTTTCTCCCGGCATTTTAGTCGCCTCCTACAACATGCATAGCTTACATAGGAAGAATTCTGTTCCACTTCTCCATGGAGAAAGTTTATAATTTTTTTTTAACATGTCAGCCATTTCCCACCAAGGCAGGGTGACCCAAAAAGAAAGAAAAATGCAGAAAGAAAGAAAAAACTTTCACCATCACTCATACATAATCACTGTCTTTGCAGAGGCACTCAGATACGACAGTTTAGATGTCCCTCCAAACTGCCAATATCCTAAAACCCCTCCTTTAAAGTGCAGGCATTGTATTTCCCATTTCTAGGACTCAAGTCCAGCTAAATGGTTTTCCTGAATCCCTTCACAAAATACTACCGTGCTCACACTCCAACAGCTTGTCAGGTCCCAAAAACCACTCATCTCCATTCACTCCTATCTAACATGCTCACGCACACTTGCTGGAAGTCCAAGCCCCTCGCCCACAAAACCTCCTTTACCCCCTCCTTCCAACCTTTTTGGGGACAACCCCTACCCTGCCTTCCTTCCCAATAGATTTATGCACTCTCCAAGTCATTCTACTTTGTTCCATTCTCTCTAAATGACCAAATCACCTCAACAGCCCCTCTTCAGCCCTCTGACTAATACTTTTATTAACTCCACACCTCCTCCTAATTTCCACACTAAGAATTCTCTGCATAATATTTACATCACACATTGCCCTTAGACACATCTCCACTGCATCCAGCCACCTCCTTGCTGCAGCATTTACAACCCATGCCTCACACCCATATAAGAGTGTTGATACCTCTGTACTCTCGTACATTCCCTTCTTTGCCTCCACAAATACCTCACTGCACCACTCGCCTTTTTTCCTTCATCAGTTCTATGGTTTACCTCATCCTTCATAAACCCGCTGACAAGTCAACTCCCAAACATCTGAAAATGTTCACTTCATCCATACTTCCACCCTACAATGTGATATCCAGTTTTCCTTTGTCTAAATTGTTTGATATCCTCACCACTTTACTCTTATCTATATTCACTTTCAACTTTCTACCTTTACACACCCTCCCAAACTCATCCACTAACCTTTGCAACATTTCTTTACAATCCCCCAAAAGCACAGTATCATCAGCAAAAAGTAACTGTGTCAATTCCCATTTTGTATTTGATTCCCCATAATTTAATCCTACCCCTCCCCCCAACACCCTAGCATTTACTTCTTTTACAACCCTGTTTATAAATATGTTAAGCAACCATGGTGACATTACACATCCCTGTCTAAGACCTGCTTTTACTGGGAAGTAGTCTCCCTCTCTCATACACACCCTAACCTGAGCCTCACTATCCTCAGAAAAACTTTTTACAGCATTTAGTAACTTACTACTTATTCCATACACTTGCAGTTTGGAGGGATATGTTGTGTATCTTTATACGTATATGCTTCTAAACTGTTGTATTCTGAGCACCTCTGCAAAAACAGTGATAATGTGTGAGTGTGGTGAAAGTGTTGAATGATGATGAAAGTATTTTCTTTTTGGGGATTTTCTTTCTTTTTTGGGTCATCCTGCCTCGGTGGGAGACGGCCGACTTGTTGAAAAAAAAAAAAATTATAGGTAGTAGGTTGGTAGACAGCAACCACCCAGGGGGGTACTACCATCCTGCCAAGTGAGTGAGAAACAAAAGCCTGTAATTGTTTTACATGATGGTAGGATTGCTGGTGTCTTTTGTCTGTCTCATAAACATGCAAGATTTCAGGTATGTCTTGCTACTTATACTTGCACTTAGGTCACACTACACATACATGTACAAGCATATATATACACACCCCTCTGGGTATTCTATTTTCTTTCTAGTTCTTGTTCTTTTTTATTTCCTCTTATCTCCATGGGGAAGTGGAACAGAATTCTTCCTCCGTAAGCCATGCGTGTTGTAAGAGGCAACTAAAATGCCGGGAGCAAGGGGCTAGTAACCTCTTCTCCCGTATAAATTACCAAATTTAAAAGAGAAACTTTCGTTTTTCTTTTTGGGCCACCCTGCCTTGGTGGGATATGGCCGGTGTGTTGAAAGAAAGAAAGAAAGTTTATAATTATAGGTGGTAGGTTGGTAGACAGCAACCACCCAGGGAGGTACTACCATCCTGCCAAGTGAGTGAGAAACAAAAGCCTGTAATTGTTTTACATGATGGTAGGATTGCTGGTGTCTTTTGTCTGTATCATAAATATGCAAGATTACAGGTACATCTTGCTACTTCTACTTACACTTAGGTCACACTACACATACATGTACAAGCATATATATATACACACCCCTCTGGGTTTTCTTCTATTTTCTTACTAGTTCTTATTTATTTCCTCTTACCTCCATGGGGAAGTGGAACAGAATTCTTCCTCCATAAGCCATGCGTGTTGTAAGAGGCGGCTAAAATGCCAGGAGCAAGGGGCTAGTAGCCCCTTCTCCTGTATATATTACTAAATGTAAAAGGAGAAACTTTCGTTTTTCCTTTTGGGCCACCCTGCCTTGGTGGGATATGGCCGGTTTATTGAAAAAAAAAAAAATTATAGGTATTAGGTTGGTAGACAGCAACCACCCAGGGGGGTACTACCATCCTGCCAAGTGAGTGAGAAACAAAAGCCTGTAATTGTTTTACATGATGGTAGGATTGCTGGTGTCTTTTGTCTGTCCCATAAATATGCAAGATTACAGGTACGTCTTGCTACTTCTACTTACACTTAGGTCACACTACACATACATGTACATGTTTATTTATACACACTCATCTGAGTTTTCTTTGATTTTATCCTAATAGTTCTTGGTCTTATTACTTTTCCTTTTAATATCCATAGGGAAGTGGAATAAGAATCTTTCCTCCGTAAGGAATGCGTGTTGTAAAAGTCAACTAAAATGCCGGGAACAATGGACTAGTAACCCCTTTTCCTGTAATAATTACTAAAAAGAATAAGAAGAAAATTGTCAAAGTGGGAAGTATGAATGTGCGTGGATGTTGTGCAAATGATAAGAAAGAGATGATTGTGGATGTTATGAATGAGAAGAAGCTGGATGTCCTAGCTTTAAGTGAAACAAAGCTGAAGGGGGTGGGAGAGTTTCAGTGGAGAGGAATAAATGTGATTAGGTCAGGGGTTTCAAATAGAGTTAGAGCTAAAGAAGGAGTAGCAATAATGTTGAAGGATAAGTTATGGCAGGAAAAGAGGGACTATAAATGTATTAATGTAAGGATTATGTGGAGTAAAATAAAGGTTGGATGTGAAAAGTGGGTTATAGTAAGCGTATATGCACCTGGAGAAGAGAGAAGTGTAGAGGAGAGAGAGAGAGATGTTGGGAAATGTTGAGTGAATGCGTGGGGAGTTTTGAACCAAGTGTGAGAGTAATGGTGGTTGGGGATTTCAATGCTAAAGTGGGCAAAAATGTTGTGGAGGGAGCAGTATGTAAATTTGAGGTGCCAGGGGTAAATGAAAATGGGGAGCCTTTAATTGAGCTATGTGTAGAAAGAGGTTTGGTAATAAGTAATACATATTTTATGAAGAAGAGGATAAATAAATATACAAGGTATGATATAGCACGTAATGAAAGTAGTTTGTTAGATTATGTATTGGTGGATAAAAGGTTGATGGGTAGGTAGGGGCCACTGATATATCGGATCATTATTTAGTTGTAGCTACAGTTAGAATAAGAGGTAGATGGGAAAAGAGGAAAATGGCAATAACAAGCAAGAGGGAGGTGAAAGTGTATAAACTAAGGGTGATATATAAGCAACTATTGGC